ACAGAAATACAAAAACTTCAGTTAATAAAAAAGAAAACTGGCCAAAAAAACCACCAAAAATGAGTGAGAAAATTGCTTTCTAGGCAAATGCCATCTTCAAAATCACCAAAGAACTCCACCCAAAGACCCAAATAATGCAAGCCTTGACAACCCACAAGCAACTTGAACAAATTTTTGAATGGCAATTCACCGGAGCTGCATGTATCAGATCCTCCGTCAATGGTTCTTTGATTTCCTTTGAAAACACCATGTTGCCTTTTAAAAGCATAGTAGGAGATATCCGAACAGCCAAAGACAAGCAACCCAGAGCAAAACCAACTCCCTCAAGCAAACCAGAAACCGAGACCAAGAAAGGACCCCCAAGGTCCCCCTGACACAACCATTAACCCCAAACAAACTCACTGGCCTACTTTGAAAATAACAAGAGAGTAATCACACAAAAAGTTAGACTTAAACAATTTCTAATATACATGAGGTTCACAATTACTACCCAACTCATTCTAGATTTTGCGTTCAATGACCTACCACATTTCCTCTTTAGCACAAGTGCGATTTAATGGAAATCTAAATACATTGTCTAGTTTGCAAAATTGAAAAACATACCCATTGCAATGACCTTCTCACTTTCATGCTCCGAATCTGATCCTGAAACCCATCGGTCTCCTCCATTGTCACAATCCCAACGCTGCCCTACCGGAGGCATCCAGAAGGCGTCCTCTGAGTCATTCCCCCCATTGGGTTCCCTTGCTTCAGAAGTAGTCTTCTCCAGTTCCTTCTTCTTCTTCTTATTTGAATTTTCTGTACTTGCCTTTGAAGCCTTAGCAGCCTTCTTCTTGGCTTGCTGCTCTCCTGATTTAGCCGACTCTTTCTCTAACTCCTTTTGCTCTGCCATGAAAATAAAAACTTTGTCAATAGTAGCAACGTGCATTCAACTGGTTTTTCGAGCTTAATGAGAATCAGAGAACTTGCCATGACCACATCATCGATAAGATAATGGAAAAACATAAACAATCCACGTAGAAAGAGAAGTACAGACCTAATTTGTTGAGGAAACGCTTGCCATTAATGTGCTTCCATATATGTTCCTCTGTTTTGTTGATGGTATCACCAGTCAGTTTGCATTTTAACTTCGAACTGCAAAAGAAGGAATGACATGGCCAACTGAAATTAAAATGACTGACAAGAGAAAGGGCAAAAACCATTCAAAAAGAACAAAATAACAGCAGCCCAATTACCAAGGAAAGACAAATTTCACACTCAAGAAGACTCAGATCACCAAAATCCAAGATTAATCGAGTTCTCATTGCAGTTCAAGCAAAAACGATGATAAGTAAACAAATAGTACTCCACTCATAAGTTTCCTGACTTCATTTTCATCTTAATTTATCAGTTCTCCAACTGAAGTCCATCAAATAACCACAACCCATTACCAAGACAACAGAAATTATACACTCACTATGGCCTAGAATCCAAAGCAACAGCCAGCAAAGCAAATAAATAGTATTCTAGGAGTGGTAACATATCATTTAGTTTAAGCATTTTTTTGTACCGACACGCTGATATCCAATTGCTTCAATTTGAATTATGTTCCTTCTAAGTAATCATCTCTCAAAGGGCTTAAACTACAAAAATTCCAATCACTTTAAAGTCACTTTTCAAATAAGCGTTTCTTGAAAAATGGCTTTTAAATCCATCAGATTTTAGAGTTTTTTTTTTTTAATTTAGTACCAAACACTATATATTTAAAAAAAAAACACGAAACTATATCAATCACACTCCAAGTCAGTAATTCTTTCAAAGTGCTCGTAGAAAAAGAATTTTTATTTAAAAATCAATCCCAAACACACAGGTCTCTTAGACTACATCTTCATTTCAACCTTTCGGCTCTCGAGCTGCAACTCAATGTATAATTCCCAACTTTCTACAATACCCAACCAATCAAACGTAACCACTAAGCCAACAAGGACAGAGATACGCGTAAACAATAAGGAAATTTAGAGTACCGAGAGAGAGGATCCTGGTCGAACATATTGAGAGGAGCTTTTCGATGGGACAAAGCGAAGTCGATGAGGCCGATGCGGCAGCGCTTGGTCCGAGAGTAGGWGTCCTTATCCTTGGGGAGGAGTTCGTGGCCGGTCTCCACGCAGCGGAATCGGCCATTTTCGAGCTCTGTGAAGGTCGGTTGCCCCAGAAGATCGGCCCCTTCCACATTCGCCCTCTCCTCGGSTCTACTCGTCGCCATGGGACAAATRTCGGCGGGCTTCGGGGGTTTTGGACAATATGAGGGTTGTTTATTTATTTATCGGTTAAAATGCAATTTCCACTCTTATTTGTTTTGGATATTTTCAAACGGTTTATTGGATCTAAAGTTTTAAATGTCGATGTACTCACGTTTTTTCATAGCTTTATTTAAGAGAGAATAGGGAGTCAGGCTGAAATGGCTATACGGCTTCAAAATGATTTTGAAAATGTTGGTTGATTGAACTAATAGATGTTGGGTGAGGGCTTAAAGACCCTAATTTACATAGTCTTTCTGGACACATATTTTTCTTCGGGGCGGGCAGATTTTCCTATAAAAAAAGAAATAGGAGATCCGGGTCTTTTTGGGGGGATAAAGTGCATAACATTGGGTCCTCCTTTTTCGTCGAATGTCCCGGGCCCGATTTAGGGAAAGAACTTTTCCTTTACTGCAGGGTCGGAGAAAACCATTTAAGCGTCGAGATGGAGATCGCTCCGCGACGAAATATCAATAAAATATCAATGTCGATGGATATTTCTATAAGAGTTAGAAAAATTAAAAAATCGTAAAAAATATTTAAATTAACAAATAAACATTTTTTCATTTTTAAATTAGTTAAAAATAATTAATATTAATATTATATATTTATATATATATATATATATATATATATATATATATATTAGTGACATTTCTTGATATTTTTCATATTGTGTCAATTTTCTTGTACTACGATGGAAATGTCGAATCACCCCTCATGTCGATGTCGAACCCATGGAAACATGGATATGTCGATGGAAATGTCRACGGATATTTAGAACCATCGTTTCAACTTTAATAATAAAAAAAAGGTAAAATATATTTTTAGTTCAGTAGTCTTGAGATATATTTCTATTTGGTCCCTAAATTTAAAAAATGGACAATTTAGTCCCCAATCATTAGAAAATGGTTCTACGTCCCTGGAGTTAAATATTATGTATATAAAATTAAATAAATATCCAACTCATTAAGCCACACCAACGTTCCGTTAACTTTAACGCAAGTTTAACCTCAATGACCTTTTAAAATCATTATCTAAATGTTGGGATCAAGCTGTCACTTTTTGAAACTCAAAGACTAAACAAAATCCTATCTCCAAATTTAGGAACTAAAAATGTAATTTACCCTAAAATGTCTTACATTTCAAGAAATACATTGAGTATAGTGGTCATGTTGAAATTGTGAAAAAAATATGAGATTAAAAATAAAATTAAGAAATCAATATGGTTACTTTTTAAAAGCACATGAACCAAAACGAACACTTTAAAAGTACAGGACTAAAATGAATAAAAATTGAAGGTATAGAAACCATTAACATTTTAAAAATATAGAGATTAAAACGAATCAAAGCTGAAAGTAGAGTGACCAAAATAGTATTTTAATCTTATTGGAAATTTGAATCTCCAATGTGAAAAATAGTAGATATCGATACTGCTTAGTCTTGCTTATGTTGGCATTGTTAAGAATGAATAAATCACCACTCAACCCAAAAGCTTGAATTGATGAGTTGGCTAAATTTAATTCATTTATGAGTATCTCAAAGACCTCCCGCTCTGATACCATGTTAAGAATGAATAAACCATCACTCAACCCAAAAATTTAAGCTGATAGATTGGGTAACGTGGAAAGTGAAGATTTAAGCTTTTACTATTTTTGTTGATGTTGTACGTCTTAACCATCAAGCTCAAGTTGACTATTTATGTGATGGCCATAAATACATGTTTTAGTCTCTAAAGTTTGCATTTTTCAATTTGATTACTAATATTTTAAATGTTTCAATTATGTATTGATTTTTTCTTTAATTGAGTCTTTACACTAACTAAACATTAAAAGAACAATGGTAATTTTTAGTGACTTTTACGAGTTTGTCAATTTGTTAGTATATTAATATTTTTACTCGTCCACTTTTTGTAAGAACAATCAATTTCAACTCTAGTGAGTTACTACATTTTAAGTAGTATAAAATGAGTAATTTTTTATTTTATGAGCAAGTAATAACGTAATATGTCTATTTCATCAAATTAAAATACATGGTACTCTTAGTTCAACTAACAAAGTGCGTTTTCATATCACATCATTATTTAATCAATTCATTTTAACAATCAGTGAAAATAAGGTTTTAATTGAAAAAACATTCAATACATTAAGATTGAAAATTTTAAAACATTAAATACCAAATTGAAAAAAATATTCTTAGACATTGTGTACATATTATGTTTTTGTTTAGCATAATTTTTAATGAGTTTTCACCATTATTAAATTATAAGTTTGATCCCTTATCTAATAGGTGTATTTGTTAAGTTTCCTTAGTTAAAAGGAAAGAAAAAAGAATGAAAAAAAAAAAACCTTCAAAATTGTGTTTATACAATTCTCGTATTTTAAAAATTTTCAGTAACTCCTACCGCTTTCAATTTTTTGTTTACTCTGTCTCCCATTAATTTTATTAGTAAGTATAGGCAGACTTGTTATAAACTTGTTAAATTACGAGATTTATTATAATTATAGACTTTTTAAAATTTAAAGCGAACCTTCAAAGTTCTTGTGCAATTTTTTAAATGTCAATAAATAAATTTTAAGATTTTTTAAAATTTAAATACTAAAACACTACTTAGTTCCTCCACTTTTAATTTTAGTTCATTTTGGTTCTTATTTTCAACTTTTATTCATTTTAGTTTATATACCTTTAAAACGTTTATTTTGATAATGTACTTTTAAAAAATAGCCATTTATCTAAGTTATCCCCATCACTATTCTAACATGACAGTTCACTCACAAAATTTTTTTAAATGTAGCCATAAAACTATATTAAAAGATTTCTATTGTAAATAAAAATTTATGTTAAAATTTTGCAAATAGAGACTAAAATGGTAAAATCCACTCGGTGAAGAAAATACACAATGAAAGAAAAACATTAGACAACCAAAATGAGCTCTCATCGTCTAAGCATTATTTTTCATTTTTCAGCTCAACTTTGTGAAGGGAACAACAAATATGTTGATAACTTCAAAATCTTTATAACCTTGATTTTGTTGAGGAGAATCTCATATATTTCAATTAGGTTGCCTTTTTTCAGTTCAACAACATGCGAGGTTCAAACCTCTATATTAACCAATTGAACTATACACTATTTTTTTTTCTTTCTTTCTTTTCGTTCTTTTTCTCTTCTCTAACCAACGATGACAATACATGCTTCACAATTTTCCAAGCTTCGAAACAAAATCAAAACTTAGAAAAACATCTGAGTACAATCAAACGTTATTTGTGCATATTCTTCATCCTTAGGTTTTTCTTTTTCCTTTTCTTCTTATGGGGTGATTGGATATATGTACCGAGACAAAAGATTAGTGAGTGTCAAGATCCATACTTACGAGGGTAGCCCGAATTTGATTGTCGACTCAAGGATCAAGGTTGTCCTCAGTTGGTGGCTGTTGACGCCTACGACAATTTTGTCGCTTGTCGGGATCATAAGTTAGTGGTCTAACGCTATTCCTACCATGAAGATCGTCCATTACTTTGAAACAACTATCACATAGAGACTTGATCTCGTCTTGCGACGAAATATCATGTATTTGCTTGATGATATTTGCCTGTGGAAGAGTAAATAATTAATTAAAACTACAAAATTTAGGCACAATTGAATATACATACATATAGAGAACTTGCCATGTATTCATAGGCTGCTCCTTGAGGTGTAATGTATCTCCTCGTGATTGAGTTGTACCAAGATAAGTAGTCATCCGATACATCAGACTCGTCTTGTATTACCTTGCCAGATGCACAACATTCTCGGCGTAGACCCCATGCTGATATATATCGTGCATGTTCGCGTCTCCAATCATTGTCATACCTACCTCGCAAGTCTAACTGATGCAATTGTGTATCTGTATTACAATGTGGTGGCACATATTGTCGTAATCTAAATTGTCTTAACACTCGATCGGGCCGATGCCACTCTACAATATGGAAGCATATGAGAGGACTTATAGTCAACCAAACATCTTGCCCATTAAGACAATATTCTGGTAAGATGGACATAATCTCATGCATGTATGGTATCCACACAATCTGAAATCAATAATATTCGACAAAATAAATAAATAATATTATTGTATTAATAAGGCCAGACTTTCCAATGAACAATAAAAAATGCTTTTTATCATACCTCATTTCGTGAAAGTCGATCAAATGTGTACCGATATTGACTTAGCACATGTGTGGATACCTTGGTGACCGTTAATGAACCACTCCATCTATAGGGTGGATGAGAATACTGTTATTTACGATTGTAGTATAAAACAATAAGTAAATAAAATACGTACCGAGCACTAAGAGGGCATCCAACATATTCATTAGGCGTTGTTAGTTTGCGTTGTGGTGCAATGGCAGGAAATCTATCCCAAGCCCATACCTGCAGTAATATGAGTGGGCCTGCTATCTCCAATGCATCAATTTGACTGGCTCGACATAATTCTCTGTATAGCCATGCAAGACATGCACTACCCCAAGAATATCGCCCAGCCTCTTCAAAATCTTTCAAGAGAGGAAGAAACATGAGATGAACAAGCGTATTAGACTTGTCAGCGAATAGAAATCCTCCAATAAGTTGCATAATATATGCCCTCGTATAACGTTTGATCATGACCTCGTCTGCTTCAACGGGTAGTTTTGTGAATTGTGATGCTAGCCATGGTAGGCTTAACCTAGACCCCTTAAGCTGTGTGGGTCGTACTCCCAACAAATCCTCACATATTGTTGCCCAATCATGTTGTAACGATCCAGTTACAGGTTCTCCATCAACCGGCAATCCAAATTGGATAGCCACATCCTGTAATGTAATTGTGCACTCTCCTCCCGGCATATGAAATGTGTGGGTTTCAGGTCTCCAACGTTCCACTAGAGCAGTAATGAGATGCCAATCTAATTGGGTGAATCCAATACGCGCAACCCCCCAAAATCCAGACTGTTTTAAGTAAGGCACTATTCGTGCATCCAAATTAATGGTTCGATGCAAGATAGCTTCTCTCCTCCGACATTGCAAACAATTAGCAGATTGGTCAGTCCATACCAATTGTGAACGGTGTGTAGGTTGTAAATGTAATATAGCTGAGTTAATAGGTCCAGGATCCATTTTTGATACTGAACAAAAAGAACAAATAATTTATTAATTAAAAATATTAGTTCATATATGAATATATATACAATTCGACAAAAAGAGAAATAAGAAAACTAGTTTTGAAGAAAACAAAGAACCCCCACCCCCACCCCCCATCCCCAATCTAGAAGTCAAATCATCGAAAACCACCCTTTCCAAAGCATAAGGCAATGAAAAGGAGGAAGTAGACTAAACAAAACAAACTTACTTGAAGGTTGTGCATTGTCCCATGAAATGAAACAAACAGCAATTGGGGAAAAAGACCCAAAGAAAAAGCAAAAGGAACGGCCTTCCATGAGGGTTGAAATACATTATGTGCTTGATGAATCATGAAAATATCCGTGGGTGTCCGGACTAACTTACGCGCACCTCGACTAATCTACATTAAGTTCATGCTTGATGCCATCAACAACTATCATTACCTAATTCATTCTAGATTCTGCATTCAATGACCTATCACACTTCCAGTTCCTCTTTACCATGCACACAATTTCAATGAAAAAAACGATCATTTTTTCCTTTGAATGATAAACTGAGCTTTGTCTGAGAGGAATTAAAAAACACAAAAGGACCTAAAAAAGACAGTCCAACAACTAAACTAAAACAAGAAGAGACCCTATAACCTTACAAAAATCAGAGCTAATGAGTAATGAGTGATTATAAGCACCTTAGTTAAAATGTTTAGTAACAACTCAATGTTTGATTCTAGTACTTCACCAGTCAAATATTAAGGCTAAAGCATTCCACAAGTGCTTCTCATAGAGTATTTTAAGGTAATTTTGACATTGTTCAAAAACATTTTAGGTTGCTCTAGGACATGATGATTGATTCTGAGTGGGAAGTGTCTTTGGCATGACCAAAAGCAATTCTAAACATAGCCTAAATATAATATCAAGTTAACAGAATTATTGACTGACAAACATACCTGTCGCAATGGCCCTATGACTAACATTAACATGCTCTGAAATTGATCCTAAAGCCAATCTGTCTCCTCCATTGTCACATTCCCGACACTTATTCTTTTTGCTTTTTGGATTTTCTGTACTCGACTTTGAAGCCTTAGCAACTTTCCTCTTGTCTTGCTGCTCTCCTGATTTAGACACTGTGTCTTTCTCTAACTCCTCTTCCACTGCAATAAAATACAAACTTTGTCAATAGCACCAATGCGATGCAACTGGTTTCTTGAGCTTAACAAGCATCAGAGTACTTGTCGCGAATATTGTCGTCCCTGTCAATGATAAGATAAAGGATAAACATAATAATCACTTTAATGTTTGATTCTAGTACTTTTGTTATGAAACATTCGGGCTAAAGCACTCTAAAAGCTTCTTCTTTAAAGTAACTTTTTCCAAAACATTTTTAAGTTACTCTAGGACATGATGATTGATTTTGAATGGGCAGTATTTTTGGCATGACCAAAAGCAATTATAAACATGGCGTAAATACAAAATCAAAGTTAACAAAATTGATTAGCAAACGTACCTGTTGCAGTCCCATCACTTACATGCTCTGAAACTGATACTAATGCCAATCTGTCTCCTCCATTGTCACAATCCTGACGATTCTTCTTTTTGCTTTTTGAATTTTCTGTACTTGACTTTGAAGCCTTAGAAGCTTTCCTCTTGCCTTGCTGCTCTCCTAATTTAGACACTGCGTCTTCCTCTAACTCCTCTTCCTCTGCAATCAAATACAAACTTTGACAACAGTACCCGCGTGCATGCAACTGGTTTCTGAGGTTAACAAGCTTCAGAGTACTTGACATGCATCCATGTCATCGATAAGATAAAGGATAGACATAACAACCACTTTAATGTTTGATTATAGTACTTTCCTGATGAAACATTCGGGCCAAAGCACTTTAAAAGCTTCTTCTTTAAAGTGGCTTTTTCCAAAGAAGTTTTATGATACTCTAAGACATGGTGATTGATTTTTAGTGGGAAGTGCTTTTAGCTTCTTTCTTTTTTTTGTTGATAAGAGACAATATATTCCAAGAACAACACAAAAGGGAGAGAACAACCTAAGGCCTCAGGGAGGAGGCCACCCTCCCAAAGCTCTAAACAATTACAGTTTTCCAATCATATACGATTATATGTAGCCGTAGGCAATAATTACAAAAGAATTTCTTGCAGTGGGTAGTCTACCAAGAAGAAATATGTTATACACATACAAAAAGAATCCTCTTAAGGACTTTTTATCTTCAAAAAGCCTACTATTCCTTTCTCTCCAAACAACATGACCAAAATTGACTAAAAAACATACCTATAGCAGCCCCATCACTTACATGCTCTGCAACTGATACTAGAGCCGATATATCTCCTCCATTGTCACAATCCTGACGCTTCTTCTTTTTGCTTTTTGAATTTTCTGTACTTGATTTTGAAGCCTTAGCAGCATTCTTCTTTCCTTGCTGCTCTTCTGACCTAGACAATGTATCTTTCTCTAACTCCTTTTGCTCTGTGATGAAAATACAAACTTTGTAAATAGTACGAACTGCATGTAACTGGTTTCTTGAGCTTAATAAGTATAAGAGTACTTGCCACGAATATTGCCCTCCAGGTCACTGATAAGATAAAGGATAAATATAACAATCCACATACACCGCAGAGAACAGACCTAATTTGTAGAGGAACCGTCTGCCATTAATGTGCTTCCATATATGTTCCTCTGTTTTGTTGATGGTATCCCCAGTAAGTTTGCATTTTAACTTCGAACTGCAACAAAAGGAATGCCATGGTTAACTGAAATTGAAATGACTAACAATAGCAAAGCCATTAAAAAAGAATAAGGTTATGTGTGCAAGTGCTATTCGCATCCCCCAAAATTTTCATGTACGGAAGTAATATGAAATACTTTGGAAAATGTTGACTGAGAAAGCACTTAAAAAGCGTTTTTACAAGTATGGAACCAAGCATCAAAATACTTTGTTATTAAGCATTTTTTTTTACTGAAGTGTTTATCAAAAGTTTATAGTGCATTTATCCTAAAAGCATTCCCAAATATACTCTAGAACTGCTACCACTATTACTGAGAGGCCAAGAATACCAACTTTCATGATTCATCAAGTTCACATTGCAGCTCAAGAAAACACAAGAACAAGCATAATTAGTACTCATAACTCTCTTGACTTTATTTTCATCTTAATTTCTCAGTTCTCCAGCAGCACTGTATCAAATCAAACACAAACTGCATTTCAATGTCTAATTCCCACAACTTTCTACACCATTCAGGCGATAAGACAGAGACATGCAAATTGCAAATTAAAGAAGAGAAAGTTTAGAGTACCAGAAGAGAGGATCCTGCTCGAACATATTGAGGGGAACTTTTCGACGGCATAAAGCGAAGTCGATCAGGCCGAGACGGCAGCGCTTGGTCCGAGAGTAGGAGTCCTTGTTCTTGGCGAGAACTTCGTGGCCGGTCTCCACGCAGCGGAAGCGGCCATTGTCGAGCTCTGTGAAGGTCGGTTGTCCCAGAAGTTCGGCCCCTTCCAGATTCGCCGCCGCCCTCTCGTCGGCGGTGGTCGTCGCCATGGCGGGGGCTTAATTTCTTGTACAATTTGGGAGAAATGTCAATCGGAAATGGGGGTTTTTTTGCAAGATTCGTTGCTGAAAGGGGGAAATTCATTTTTCACTAATTAAATTAATTCGGTTTTTCGATTTTAACCTAAAATTTTTAAGGGCAAAAAACAAATTTTAACTGGGTTTTCATTTTCAGTAAATTAATTCGGTTTCTCGATCAAATTTCCTTCTATTCGTCCAATAAATTCTTTTTTGATTTTATGCCCTATTTGATCTTATATATTAGTCGAGCTAATTTTGTTGAAATTAGTTAGTTTTATGAGAATTTTACATATATATTTTTTTTGGTTAAAAAATAGATACCAGAATGATTTAGTCTTTAATTTGTAATAACTGAATTCCGATACTTTTTAAATTATTAATAATTTAGTTCCTAAATTTTAATAGGTAACAATTTAGAATCTAAAATTTAAATTTGTAGTAATTTAGTCTCTATCTTAAAAAGTCTCATCAAAATTAAGTGTAAATTTTCACAATACAACGATTTAGTTTTTTAATTTATTCGTCTAATATATATAAGAAAATTAACAAAAAAAATTTATAATATGAATTAAAAAAAATTATAATATGGACCAAATCATTACAAAAGAATAATAGTTCCAATACTAAATTATCACTAATTTGGAAGTACAGGAACTAAATTGTTTAACTAAAATTCAGAAACTTTATTTTTTCCTTTTTTTAGTACAACATGTGGGATGGAGGTTCGAACTCATGATCTAGAGATAGTTGTCTTAACCACTTGAGATATGTTCAGTTTGACAACTCTCTAAAAGAGAGTTATTTTAGTAAATATTTAGATGTTTTTGTGTGAAGAAATGTCAAAGTGTGTCTAATTTAGCTCTCAAATCTCATAAATATTGTTAGAAATCGAAGTACGAGCTAAAAGTCTCATGTCTTGGATGCTTTTGGCTAAAAACTATGCTAAACTCTCTTATTTTTAGCTGGTTTGGAAAGAAAAGACAAAGTATGTAGAAAGCGTTGAGCTCATAAATAGTAGATGAGATATGTTCAAGGCATGACAGGAGAAAGCTGAAGCAAAGAATCGCTGGAGCATGGATTTACAGAGCAGTAATTGTCCCAGATACAGACAAGTTACTACCCGTACAATCTCCAGCCGGGTGCCCTAAAATTGGGACCCAATATAAAAAGGACATTTTGACCTGGCCGACACACACATATCCCAAGAGAGGCACAATTGTGAGTGTTGGAAAAGACAAGGAAGAAGAATCTCACCATTTTCGGTTGAGAGCTAACGACTTAGAGGGATATTCGGATGCTGCTTCGAGCTGTCATCTCCATTCTCGGCTTTCTTCTCTTTTCTTGAAATGGGTTGTAACCTTTATTTACCCATTGTATTTTCTTCTTCCTCCACGTCATTTTGGGGGAGATTTACATGCAGTAACTGATGAACAACTAAAACTCTAGCTGATTTCCTTTGTTATTAAATAGAGTTGTGTTTATTTCTTAATCCTTACTTAATATTGTTGGAACTCTATTTTGTATGCAAGCGTCTGTATGTCTCGGGAAGGCTTACGGGTAGCTGACTCGCGTTATTTGTGATTAGCTACTTTTTTTTAGTAGGGTTGTGGATACTTAGGAATGAGGTCCCTAATCGTGCTTAGAACTTATGCTTATTGCTTGGATATTTAGCAACAGGAGTTGTGTGTATTCATATTTGGGTGTCTCGGAAGGGAACCATGTCGAGTTGAGCATCAACGAATGATTCTCCTCATAAATGGAACCATGCTTTCTTCAATATATGAAGATCCACTTAGTCGAATAACTAATTATAAAATCCACTTAGGGAAGAAAGCATGTCATGTCTCCCCGTCTTTCCATATTTGTTTACTACCCACTTTTGTTATTCTGTATTGTAATTTCTTCTTGTTGTCAATATTTTAAAGCGTGTTCACTGTTGGGATCGTTTATTGTTTGTTTATGATATTTTTCTTTACTTTCGACACAATCTATATTTTATTGTTTTTGTACTTTTGATATCCTCAAACATAGTTTAGAATATTTTCCTAAGTCTCTGTGGATTCGACCTCGTTTCGTACTACAATCGATGGATATAGTGTACACTTGCACGTATATCCAAGACAATTGTGTGGACGCAACAGTTACCAATGACATTGTGCATGGATCCAGATAAGATGATCCACACTAAGGCCCCGTTTACTTATCCGCAATCGTAATGGAAATGAATCAGAATGAGAATGTTATTTCTTTGATGTTGTTTACCATAAATTTTATGGAATCATAGTCAGAATTAAAACGGTATGAAATCGGAATCAAATATATAACAATTACTAGTATACCTCTTTCTCATTTTTAGTTAATTACACAAATCTTTTTTAATTACAATAATAATAAATTTTAATTTAATTTATTACTATATTATTGATACTAAATATTTTTTATTATAACAATTTATTTAATATTAATAAATAATCTATAATTAAAATAACATTACCTCAAATAAATAATGAATAATTAAATGAATTGTAGGGATTAATTAATAAAGGAGAGAAAGGATAAAAGTTGTAAAGTAATTATAATAAATACGTGGGGCCTACGGAATAAAGAATTAGAATGATTGTAGAACTGTAATAGAAGTAAACCATTACTATTTTAGGAATCAGATTATAAAATTTGAGGCGAGTCTCACCATTTAATTCCATTTCTATAATTTGGTAAACACCGTAGAATGCTTGTTGTAGGTAAATAAACGGGATCCAAAATCTAATTATTTCTCTAATTATTTTATTATAGAAACTCTCCGGACTTTAAAACAACCCATCACGTAAGTTGGACAATACTCAACCAATATCTATCCTGCCCTCGACGAAAATAAATTATCCTTCCATCATTGAATTGATTGCCACACTCTCTCTTTAATTTTTTTTTTAAACAAAAAAAATTCCTCCCTTTTGCACTTTGTTAGCAACGAAGGTAGTAAGTAATTTCCTCAATTGGATACCACATTAGCTCCCTAAGAGATTTTAAAAACTATTCCACAATTACTGTGAACATTGAAAAAATAAATTAAAACTGCCATAGTCGCGAATCTGTTTATAGTCGCGACTGTTGTCATAATTGCCAACGATAATTGACATATATTTTTCGAGAGATTGTGAGTTCGATCCCCACCCCAGATGTTATACTAAAAAAATATTGAGAAAAAAAATAGTAGATAACAGATTTATAAAAGTTAATGTATTGGCCTGAATCTTTCATTCTACCGTATTTGCCTTCATAAAAATAAATTAGAGAGACTTGGACGATTTATATGGGGTGAAATATCGAACCTTAAGATTTAATTTGATGAAATTTTTTTTAAATATTTAATTTGATGAGATTAAAATTAGATGAAATCTTGATTTTCTTAGAAAAGATTTAATCTGATGAAATTAAAAAAAAAAGTAGAGAAGAAAATTGATTAACTTTGCCAATTTTCGAAAAAAGAAGAAGAAACCTCAAATTCAAGGATAAAAATTGTTTCTTTTTCCCATTTTTTGATTTTATTAAATTAATTCATAAAGCCGCAATTAATACTAATTCACCAATAAATCATACAAAATTTAACTACCAAAATACCCAACATCATTGATATGGAAGGCCCTTGCAATAATTAATTCACATGCACCTCTCTCTCAACAAATTCTAACATGATTTTTTTCATAAGGATTTAAATGAGAATTTTCACGGATATAGTTTAATAATTAATGCAYCTTATATTTATTACTTTTTATTTAGTCCAACCTTGAACTTCTCATCTCATATTTGTTGTAAAAAAWTTTGAGAATTTTAAAATATTAATGATAAAATCRTAAAATTGATAATTACCTAGCAAATTTTAAGGACAATTTCATATATTTAAAATACCTAAAAATATCGATCCTGAAATGYAAATATAATTACCGCCCTTAAATTTTGGTTGAAAACTATAAAATTTAACCTGCTCTATATATACCAATAGAAACAGCCCAAATATATGTTTTAATTACCAATATTTTGATATTTTTCAATTTAGTTTCTTGTCCAAAAAGTAACCATTTTAATCACATGTATTTTAATATTTTTTAATTTAGCCTCTCATCATTGGTAAATATTAAAATTGAATAATGATAAATGTACATGGCATAATATGTAATTGAATTACGGAACTTTAGATAAGAAAAATGTCAAGAATTGAAAGAAAAAAAATCTCTTAGATAGACTTTTTTTTCTTCCTTAATTTATAACAATTCACTAAATATTATGYTATATAAATTTATCATATCAATCAATTTTCKCATGTATCAAAAGTGATARACTAAAATAAAATATGTAAAAATATTACARACTAAAATTATAACACGGACTTAGACTATAAAATATATATTTAGGGAAATTTATAAAATATATATTTAGGGAAATTTGGAGAATCCCTTTATGACAATTGGGAGTGTCTGAATTTCATAAAATGACAATAGGGAGTATCTGAATTTCCATAAATATGCAGTTGATTTTTTTAAATATATATTTTTTTAATCAGACGTACGCTAACAAAGTACCATATTTAGAGGTATCTTCAAACTAATTTTGTAGAGGATTATTTTTGGAATAGAGGTATCTTCAAACTAATTTTGTAGAGGATTATTTTTGGAATAAGTATGGATATTGGTTTGAAAATAAATTTCAAAATTAACAATATAAAAAAAAATCATAAATTCCCTACCAAAAGTCTTTATTTAAATAGATAAATTCTTAAAATTACTGCCATGAGAATAATTCAACAGGAAATTTCTAATGAAAACTAATATTTTAACTTAGTTTTGAGATTTGAGAGTCTAATAAATATTTATATTCTAACCTAAATATCTCATAAAAAGAATTTGTCCAAATGAGGGTTTTAATTTTTTTATAATATAACTGCAGAATGGATAGCTATCTTATCGAGTATGACTCATCCTTACACTATCAAAATATACACACACACATATACATGAGCACAAGCACTTACTCAATCTTAATTATTCAATATTATTAATATGTGACATATAGGTGCATAATAATCTTACGGAAAAATAGTTTTAAATAGTTTATAAACTCAATTGATTGTTAGCTAATCTAACAAAAAGATGATGTTGCTAACATACTTTCTAGTTTCTAATTTTTTTAAAATATAAGTGTTTGGTAACTGTTTCTGTTACTCATAATTTTTAAAATTGTATAAAAAGTTTGGAAACAACAAAATAAAGTCTCTTGTTTCTGTTTTTTTTTATCTAAAACATAAATAAAGACAGTATTTTATCATTTAATTCAATGAAAACAAGAGTTGTGTACCGTTTGACTACTTTCAAGTATTTGTTTGGTAGAATCTACATTTTATAATTTCTATTTCTTTTTTAAGATACAACATACAAATTCTATCAATAAATATATTAATATATTTATTAACTTAAGTATATTAAGATCCTAAAACTCAACATATATTTTAATTGGTTAAATTTACAAAGTTACACATTTGTAACTTTATATGTGTTAAAGTTACATATGTAATATATGTAAAAAGGTTACATGTGTTTAAGGTAATTGTGAGATGTTGCATGTTTGGACAATTATATATAGTTGTAGTTTTCCTCATTTGAGATATCAAACTTTCTCATTTGAGTTACTCCTCCTATCACAAGAATTCTCTCTTCTTTTTGAGTTGTTRTTCTTGTTTGTGTTGAGAGCAGGTATCTAAAAATTCTGTCAGATCCGAATAATTCGAGGTTGCTATTCTACCGGAGTTAGTCATTGTATCCTACTTGGGACGATCGAGATAGTTTGCTAGCAACTTAAGCAGAGCGAAAAATTGTTTTCATGTCAGCACTATTGAGGCATACCTCCGCAATATTTATCAATCGTGCCCTCACTACATGTTGAAGAGGTGAGTAAGGGGYAGCTTCTTTCTCAACCTTACCCGCTTCTTGGGATGATGTATGTGCTATGATCCATCAGATTATTTTGATTCGATTTTCGGTGCGTTGTTTTTTCAGCGAATAAAAGAAACCGCTGATTCCACAGTTCCTTCATCAAATTTGGGTGCGTTTGAAAGAGCTGCTTCCCCTGCTGATATGATAGGTGACTCAAYGGATACTACTAAAAAATTTCTCATAGTTTCTCATGGAAGGAAATGAGATTTTTGAGAAAAGGGGTTGGGAACCATCGAAAGACTAGCAACCTGACAGTCCTAAGCAACCTGGAACCAACAACGTTACATATACCATACTGCTATAGAAGACATGAATACCAGTTAGACTACGGGACGCGTACACCCGCAATTGAAGTTTTGACGTTCATCAAGTTGTCAGAATATGTATTGTTTGCGTAGCCAACTACGTTGTAATCTGTTTGTCAATGCTACACAGTTTATACATACATCCTATATTTACCCAACATCTATCGTCAAAAAGTTGAAAGTTCTAATCACAATCCCGATGTCCTTCTCCTGTCTTGGATTTGAAAAAAATTTCAATATTTTTTAAAACATATATAAAATTATTTTCATATTCTATACCAAACTTGACCTAATTTGCCCCCATTAACTTTTAATGGAAGGAGATTAGCACTAGTTATTTGAGGGAAAATTTTAATACAAAAATAAATTTCAAATATCAAAAAAAAAAAGAAAAAAAGAATAGTGGTTTAATTAACATTCAAATCAATACACGTGAACTTTGACCTAAAAGAGCGTAACATTCTTGGACTCTCAACTTACAATAATCGTAAATTTTGTCGYAATATTTGCCATTTTCAAATTTCTAACCAAGAACCGTGGGGACAATGTTTATTAAATTTTTCTCACCAGAAAGACGATTATTTATTATAAAACTTATTTGTTTGATTAAAACATTTTTCTCACCAGAAAGACTATTATTTATTATAAAACTTATTTGTTTAATTAAGTTTCATAAGTAACCTTTCTGTTATTTTCTTTCTTGTTTCAGTTTCTTATTTTTAATAAAGAAAAATTAATTGCATGACTCCGACATCTATAAATTCAAGTATGATAAAATAATTTTTTATTTATGTTTTGAAACAAATTGAAAATGAGAACAAAAAGAAAGAAACTTGTTTTGGTTGTTTCCGAAATGTCTAATATACTTTTGAGAATGCTTTCAAAGAAGGAAAAACAAGATATATAGTTAGTTGTAAAATACTTAGATTTCTTAATAAAATTGTAAATAAAAAACAAAAAATAATAATGTTACTAAACCAACGCGATTTTCCGATTCCAAAATTGCCTTGTTTTCTTGTTCACCAAATTGTACACCCATCTTCAAGAAGTTCATGACACCTAATTCACGAAGCTTACGACACCTATACAAAACTCATGTAGGTGTTAGCTTTGCTTCCCAAGTCCTCATAGCCAGCTATAAGTAGATAAAGGTTTATTGTTTGCAATTGATGGAAGAAATCAAAGCAAATCTTAGGAAAAACTTCTATGTTCTCCCCCATAAATCCAGAAGGAATTTTTATGGACCCGTTTAGTAATGTTCTCGTTTTATTTTTTTTCGAGTACTTGTTTCTCGAAATAAAATAGAAAGAAAAATATGTTTGATAATTATATCCTATTTATTGTTTATATTTCTATTTTTTTTCAGTTCAGTATGGTGGAATTCGAATCCATGACCTATTGACTGAGAATTTATACATTAACTCAGGTTTGCTTATTTTTATTTTTAGTTAAATATAATATAAAAGGATATAAAATATACTCTGAGAATATAATTTATTAAATAAAATAAATTTTACCATATAAATTTCAAAGTATAAATTATTAGCTTTAAATAAATAATAAAAATTTGTAAAATATATAAATTATTAAAATCTTTTTAATTTAAAATATTTTGTATTGTTGTTCCTCTTTTATTCTCTCAATTTCACAACATTATCAACTTTTTTATCGAATAAGAAAACGTTTATTCAATTAAAATAAAATTGAAAGATGAAAATGTCAGTGCATATGGTTATAAAAAACAAAGATTCACCCAATAATTTAATTAAAGCAAAGCAGCAATGATCTTACCTCCGCTCCACTTTCAGATTTTCTGCAATAAATTTTGATAATCCTGCAGCRGTTCACGTGAATCCGAAGAAGAAGAAGAACAGAGCCTTCCTTTCAGTGCCTCAATTGGAGATCATGAAGATTCAAATGGCTTTTACTGTAGCTTGGATTCTGCTTTCCGCGGCATGGATTTCAATGGCCGATTCGAGAGCTTGCGATTTTCCGGCAATTTACAACTTCGGCGATTCGAATTCAGACACCGGCGGAATCTCGGCGGCATTTTACCCGACCATACTGCCCTGCGGCGAGACGTTCTTCCACAAAGCCGCCGGACGAGGCTGCGATGGCCGCCACATAATCGATTTCATTGGTTAACTTCAATTTCTCTGTTCCATTTTTTCTCATCCAAAATAAAAAAATCTGCATCGACATTCCGTTTATTTCGATTCTGCTGATGAAATTGAGTTGAATCTGCAGCGAATCATCTCGAATTGCCCTACCTAAGCGCGTACCTCAATTCGATCGGAGCGAACTTCCGCCACGGCGCGAACTTCGCGACCGGTGGATCGACGATTCGGCGTCAGAACGAATCGGTGTTCTTGAACGGAGCGAGTCCGTTCTCGCTCGATATTCAAGTCGTGCAGTTTCGTCAGTTCAAGAATCGTACCATCGATCTCTACCGCGAAGGTTTTGTTGAAATTTTTGGTTGAATCGTGGAGATTTCTTCTTCTGTTTGTAATTGTGGTGTTACGAACTTGCAGCGACTGCGGAGAAATCCATTAGAAGCACTCTCCCCGTACCGGAAGATTTCTCGAAGGCTCTTTTCACCATGGATATCGGCCAGAACGATCTGGTCGCCGGATTCCGGAAAATGACGAACGAACAACTTCGATCGGTGATTCCGGATATAATCGGAGAATTTGCAACCGCTGTCGAAGTAAGTCGATTTCTATCAATCGTATTACGATTTCCGCACTCTGAAATTTGTTGACCAGAGAAAATGAGGCGCAATATTTGAAAATTTAGACGTTCTTTTGTTTAATACACCATATTCTGGGATTCGAAACCACGACCTTACCTTAACGTTTGGGAAGTTGTTTGTTTCTTTCTAATTTCTAATTTAACTTTTGAAAAAAAGAAGTATTTGGTAACTTATCCTATTTCATTTTTATGAAATGTTTCAGATTTTTTTTTTCCAAAGACTTTCTTGTTTTTAATGTTTTTTCAAAATATTATTTTTGTCTGGTAATAATAAATATAAAAAACTAAATATAACATAAAAATTTGGAAAAGTTAATTTTCATGTTAAAACTTTACTTTTTTAAATTTAAAATTTTAGTGAACACAAAAATTAAAAAGGNTTTTTACGAAAAAGTTAAGTGCAATTATGTTGAAAAGAAGAGGAAATAATAGAAAACTCGAAAGCAAGTTACCAAGTAAATCCTTAATTATACTTTTAACTTTTCTATAGGTTTATAGTTCATAAACTATCATCTCCATCAATCTCGAAACTTACCTAATCTTCATTGATTTACGAAAATTTTTGTACATGATATATGAGAAATTGGTACTTTTATCTTGGACCCACAAAGTAGAGATGAGCCAAATTTTAACGAGTTGAAACATAGGTAATTTCCAATATTATCTTGTGAGGATGTGAGAGTTTCTACTTATGATTTAGTAGAGTTATGATTTAACAGAGATGTCTTAACTACTAAATCATTCTCATGTTCACCAATGAATTTTCCTATAGAGTGAAAGTTTGGATTTTGCCATAGATTTGTTTTACGAAATTTTGAATTTTTAACTCGAAGTGATTTAACGTCTTCTTACTCAATTGACCCACGTGTATACTGTTGTATTCTTAAAAATAAAAAAGAACTATTTCTTTTACATATTTTTAGACTATTCTTTAAAATGGATATCATGTTCAATAATCAATATGTATAGTCTCAATAAGCACAATAAAAATGTATTTTTTAGTACAGCAACATGTATGGCGAGGAGTACTTAAAAAAAATTGTGGGGTGGGGATTTTACTACAAATTTAACAAAAAAAAAAAAAAATTAATCAAGGAAATAATATTAACATAAATATATGGAGATGCAGGGTATCGATCCCCATACCTCTCGCATGCTAAGCGAGCGCTCTACCATATGAGCTACATCCCCTTAATGTTAAAATGGCTTGTATTTTGTATTAAGTTAATAACAAATAACCTATAACTTTTCGCTCTTAAATATATACTTTAATCAAACAAGCATATATGTTAATATTATTTTTTTATAGTATAGTAAAATAATGGATGTTTTATCTCAGAAATATTTTTTTTAATATTTATTTTGTAAAGCTAAGTCAAGTTTCAATTAGATCAATTTATTCGATTTGGAGTCCCTTTGATAGGATCTATATAAAGAGGGGGCGAGGGCATTTTGGGTACACAACAGTGGGCCCATTGGCTGCATTCCGGTGGCGATTCGTAGTTCAGTTCCGGGGGACCTTGACAAGAACGGCTGCGTCAAGTACCAAAACGACGCCGCTGCGGAGTTCAACACACAGCTCAAAGAACGACTCCTCCAACTCAGAGCAAATCTCTCCGATGTTTCTCTCGTATATGTGGATGTGTTTGCAGCTAAGACCAAACTCATCTCTAATGCAAAGGAGGAAGGTAAAAATATAAGCCAAAAAAAAAAAACTATTTTGGTTGACATAATTTTTGGCCCATTTTTAATAAATTTTTATACATAACCGATATTTTTTAATACAAATTTATAGTTATATTTCAAAATTATTATTATAATAAGTAAATTAGATAAAAATAAAAATGAATGAGTCAAAATGTGTGGGGATCAAAATAAATATTTTAAAAGCATTAAGTCTAAAATGGACAAAATTTTGAGGTGGGAACCAAAGTTGCGATTAAGAAATTTAAATCTATGAGCAAAATTCAACAATTTTCTGTCCAAACTCATTATCTTTGCCCAAACGTTTACCTTATTTCCTAAATTTTCTTTTATCAAACTTAAAGCTTCAAACCATAATACAATAAACAATAAGCCAAATTAACCTCCAATCCTACCCTATAAATGATATTTTGAAAAAGTAAAACCAAGCTCAAAAACTATAGGGCTAAAATGGCAATACAACTCTCTTTATTATTATTTTTTTTTTGTAAGAATTTATTAAAGTTCATATGTATCTAATCAGGGTTTAGGGAGACGGGGGCAATATGTTGTGGGTATCACGAGGGCTATAATCACGTGTGGTGCGGGAACAGAGCAGTCATAAACGGCAGCGACGTGTACGCTGGATCTTGTCCTGATCCTTCCAAATTTATCAGCTGGGATGGGGTCCACTATACGGAAGCTGCAAACCGTTGGATCGCCGATCGGATTCTCCACGGCTATTTTTCGGACCCACAAGTTCCCATCACACACGCTTGCCGTAGATTTTCAGAAGGCTGATTGGATTTCAACGGCTGTGATTAGTTGACACAGTCTCGTTTTTTTAGTATAAGATATGAGCTGAAAGCGGAACTCCTGAATTAGTCGAGATAGGTGTCTAAATTGGTTAAAGGTTAAGACTTGCTTCATAACAAATTAAATGGAGACTAATAAAATATTGGTTAAAATACTGCTTTGGTCTTTGACTTTCTGACTTAATTCATTTTGATTTGTGTAAATTTAACTTTGTTGATATTAGTTTCTATATTCTTGAAATTCGTTGTGAATATATATACTTTAAAAAAGTGATCGTTTCGGTCTCTTAATTTATTTTTAATATGACTTTTTCTATCATGGTTAAATACAACACTACACTCAATATAATTTTTGAAACGTAGCTATACTTTATATTAAAAGATTTATATTATGTGTAGAATTTGTATTAAAAATTTGTAAATAATAATCAAAATTATCATTTTTTTAAAATACCATGACAAAAACTAACCTTTTAAAATGGACTAGAATGACAAAAGTCAAAATCAACATTTAAAAAATGCAAGACCCAAAATCAATAAAAGTTGAAATTAACCTCACCAAAATAGTATTTTAACTTGAAAATTTTTAATTAATTATTTTGAAGTCATTGTTGAAGATAAATGACTTTAATATATCTTCATATATATACTTTATCTCTCTGCTTTACCGACTTAGACATGTTTTTCTTCTCACATAATAGTTTTTTTTTGTTAAAAACATTTTTGGTAGTTGTACTTAGAATAATTCATTTCTTATAATAATTTACTTAACAATTTAGTCATTGTAATTTAAATTTGTTATAATTTAGTGTCTATCTGAAAGATGTTGCTAAGGTATAATAGAATTTTCTATATATGATCGTCAAATGTATTTATAAACTACCGAATTTAAATTGTTACAATAATAAAAAACGATACTTAATTTTGATGAGATTTTTCATGGTAAGAATAAATTATTACAAAATTTTAAACTACAATGACTATATTATTACATACTAGTTCATGGACTAAATTGATACCAATTTAAAAGTAGATTGACCAAAATCGTTACATCAACTAAAACATATATGGACCAAAAATGTCTTTAACATAGTTTTTCTATATTCGTGTAAAGTTCTAAACTTGCTACTATATTTAAGAATACATATTTTATTTTACCATTTACGTAATTTTCTATTTTTTCAATTATTTAATATTATGTTTTATCTCTTAACTCTAGATATAAATCATTTTAATCTGCCATTATTTTTGGTTAGATTATTATTAATGCTCATTTATTGGCATTTGCCAGATAGGTGTTAGTGGTGCTATGTACGTCTTCGTTAGTACGGGTGTAGTGCTCCGTCGAATGCACTGCAATGCTTAAGTTAAAATTCAAAATGAAAGCGAACGAGTATGAAGCAAATAGAGTAGAGTAGAAGAATAGTAATATAGATTATGTTTGAGAGTGTGTCAAATACTCACGAGGAGCTGTTTAGAGGGGACCGACCTTACCTTAATTATGATTTTTTCTTTTGCACAATGGTAGTTGATCCACAAGTATTTTTTAAATACATAATATGTAGAAAAACTCAGATTTTTTTTATATAAAGAATAAGTGCCTTGCTAAATTGACAAATAAGTCCTAAGTGATGAAAAATGTATTTTAACAAAAAATTTAAGACTTAAAAGTCAGCAGAAAATAATTGAGATAAAGAAACAGAAGTCTCACGTGACAGAGGCCAGGGGGATCCCCGTATTGTCCACAAAATGACAACGATGGTCCCCGTTTAATTATATCCATCACATGGTAAACGACATCGTTTTCCATTGCCCATTGCACCACAGGATTCTTCTCCTCGATTGGGCAACTCCATCACAGCCGCACAATCACGATCCAACGGTCCACGATCCTCGCTCTCAATTTCACTCCCACCGACTTTATAACAAGACGTCAAAAAGTTTTTATTCCCACGGAACAGATTACAGAA